TTTTTTATTTTATCCAACCAGCTTTTTTATCACTTGGGCTTATTATTCTCCACATCAGTTTCCTTTATTTGTTTTCTTGTATACCGTTTCTCATGTATCTATTGATTGTACATTTTCTTTTTCTCTTATTATTACATTTTCTTTTTCTTATTGCTGGATTATAAATAATCACATGTGTGTGGATTCACTTACACTTTCTTATATGGCTTAATTATAAGAGTTCATGGACTGGATTTATGATCTGTGAATTTCATGTGTTCAGTTAGAGAAAGTTGCCATATGCCTTGCTGAAAATTCAAGGGCAGCTATTAACGCAGATTCAAGGGCAGGTGGGTATGGGGGTAGCTTTCTCTTTGCTTAATTCTGTGATGGAAGGGCAGGTTCATAGTAGAAATGGGTTTATTACTTGTCAGAAATCAAAGACTAAATATTTTTCCAGCCACAGAACAAAGAAAATGAGAAGAAAGCTGTGCAGAATGTCAAGAAGCCGCCCCCTCTGAACACAAAGTAAGTGTGAGCGTCCTTAATTTTTGCCTGTAGAAACTAAGAAGAAGAAGAAGAAGAAGAAGAAGAAGAAGGGTATCTGGCTGGTGTACCGACCATCTAATGCACCGCCAGATACCCTGTCTGACCTGTTAGATGCTGTATCAGGCTGGGCACTGGAATATCCCAGGCTTCTGGTACTGGGTGATTTCAACATCCATGCTTATGATGCAGCATCTGTCCAGCCCAGGGATCTAGTGTCATCCATGGAGGCACTGGGACTCTCCCAGTTTATATAGACTCCCATGCACCAAGCAGGCCACACGCTGGATCTGATTTTTGGGATGGGGATAAATGTGGATCAGATGGCTACAGGTGTGGTCCCATGGTTTGACCACCTCGCCCTGAAGGTCTGGCTGAGCGTACCATGCCCACCCTGTTTAGGCGGCGATCACATTTATGCTCGCCCGTGGAGTCAAATGGACCCTAGTCAGCTTCAGGAAGCTCTGCAGGATCCAGTGCCCCCTGGTGTCTAGCTAGATAAGCTGGTGGAGGACTGGGATAACCGGCTTTCTGAAGCCATCGATGAGATTGCCCCCAAGTGCCCTGTACACCCCTGCACCAAAGCAGCATCGTGGTACACCACAGAATTGTGGAGGATGAAGCGGGAGCTAAGATGGCTAGAGCGAAGGTGGCAGTGTGTTCGGGATGAAGTGTCACGAACATCTTATAGGACGCTTATGAAAGCCTATGAGATGGCAGTTAAGCCTGCAAAAAAGGATTTCTACATGGCCTCCATTGCGTCTGTGAGCTTGGGCCCAGCCCAATTAAGAGTTATTTGGTCTATTACGACTGCCACAGGACAGACCAAATAGTAGGGAATTGGCTATTGGCTGTGAGGCATTTGCAAGTTACTTTGCAGATAAGATAATGACACTCCGCCAGGACCTCCTGGCCACAATTGAGACAGTAAAAGAACTGGAAGCCTCTTGTCCGTCTTCTGGTCTGTTATTGGACCACTTCAGTTGACTCTCCTGGGAGGAAGTTGACAGGATCCTGGCAGCAGTGAGGCCTACTATCTGCCTCCTTGACCCATGCCCTTCCTGGCTAGTGAAATCTTGTGGGGAGAGCATTTGGGCCCCTCTGGAAGAAATTATCAACTTGCCCCTTTCTACTGGGACTTTCCCAGAGGCTTTGAAGGAGGCGGTAGTTCATTCGCTCTTGAAAAAGCCATCATTGGACCCAGTGGTCCTAACCAACTACCGCCCAGTGTCGAACCTACCATTCCTGGGCAAGGTGGTTGAGAGAGCGGTGGCCGAGCAACTCCAGGCTTTCCTGAATGATGCTTCCGTCCTTGACTCCTTCCAGTCTGGCTTCTGCCCTGGCCATGGGACGGAGACGGCTCTTGTTGCCCTTACAGATGATCTCCGTAGACATCTGGACCAAGGCAGGTCAGCGCTGCTGTTGTTATTAGACTTAACGGCAGCGTTTGACCTGGGCGACTACGATCTCTTGACCCATTGCCTCACTGATGTAGGCGTTCAGGGGATTGTCTTGAAATGGTTTTCCTCCTTTCTCCATGGTTGGGGACAGAGGGTGGCACTGGGCAAGCAGGTCTCCCCGCGGTACTCACTAGAATGTGGCGTGCTGCAGTGGACTTTCCAATGTTATTTAATGTCTATATGCGCCCCCTCGCCCAGTTCGTCCGGGACTATGGGCTGGGTTGCCATCAGTATGCTGATGACACTCAGCTCTATCTGTTAATGGACAGCCATCTGTCCTCCGTTTTGGAAATCTGGCTGAGGCTTTGGATGCTGTGGCTGGATGGTTGCAGCAGAGTTGATCGAAGTTAAGTCCATCGAAGACGGAGGTCCTGTACCTGGGTTGCAGTGGTATGGATGTGAGCACCTCTGGTGCCGGCCCAGTCAGTGAAGAGCCCGGGAGTAACAGCGGATGCCTCTTTGTCTGTGGAAGCCCAGGTTGCTGCAGTCGCCAGGTCTGCATTTTTCCATCGTAGGCAGATCAGGCTACTGAAGCCCTATCTCTCCCTCCAGGACTTAGCTATGGTGACCCATGCAATGGTCACTTCCAGGCTTGATTACTGCAACTCGCTCTACGCAGGCTTACCCTGGAAGCTGATCCAGAAATTATTGCTGGTGCAAAATGCGGTGGAGCACCTGTTGACATCGATGCCTGTGCAGGCTCATGCTTGGCATGTGCTTTGCCAGCTGCATTGGTTACCAGTTGAGTACTGGATACGCTTCTAGATGGTGGTAATACCCTTTAAAGCCTTATACAGCCTGGGACCATCATTCTTAAGGGACCGCCTCTTCCCATATATGCCTCAAAGAAGTTTATGCTTTAACAGTCAACATCTGGTGGTCCCTGCCCCAAAGGACGTCCGTTTAGCCTCGACCAGGGCCAGGGCTTTTTCTGCCCTGGCCCCTACCTGGTGGAACATGCTCCGTCTTGAGATCAGGGCCCTGCGGGATCTCCTTCACTTCTGCAGGGCCCGCAAGACAGAGCTGTTCCGCCAGGCCTTTGGCTGAGGCAGTGGGCATCCACACATGGCCTCCCCAAGGTTGCTGTCACCCACCCGCTGATAACTGGCCATATCTATTTACACCAGTGGGCTGCAATCTCTCAACGGTAAGCCATGGCTACTAATTTTATATGTTTATAATGTGTTTTTAAATTTTATTGTATTTATTGAAATGAGGTCACCCGCCCTGAGCCCCTTTGTGGGATGGGTGGGATACAAATGCGAACAATAAATAAAGGAGGAGAGTTGGTTTTTTACCCCACTCTTCCATTCCTGAGGGAGTTTCAGAATGGCTTACAGTCGCCTTCCCTTCCTTTCCCCATAACAGACACCCTCTGGGGTAGGTGGGCCTGAGAGAGCTCTGAGAGAACTCAGTGACCCAAGGTCGCCCAGCTGGCTTCATGTGGAGGAGTAGGGAATCAAACCTGGTTCTCCAGATGAGAGTCTGCTGCTTTTAACCACTGCATCACACTGGCCCTCATGTAGATCAGTTGTTACTACTACTACTACTACTACTACTACTACTACTACTACATTCAACTTATATACCGCTCCCTCCCGAAGGCTTGGAGTGGTTTACAGAGAAACATTAACAACCTAGCTAGGGCCACATAGCATAGGGGGGAAGTGAATGCCTACCAGGCACCCGAGCAGGGTGTGTTATCTAGATGTTGCTCTTTTTCCGGCTCTTTTTTCTTTGTGGTGGGTTCATTCCAGGGCGACGATGTCTCAGTGAGATCCCTCTCTGGCAGCGACTCCTTCTGGCGTGGGCCCTCAGGTGCGCGGCTGTGCATGGCTGCCGCACTGGCCTCTGTCCTCATTGGCTCCGCCCGTGCTGTGTCGCTGCGCCGTCACGCCTCCTGGCCACTTCGCTGTCTGGGTTGCTCGTCTCCCGGCTCTGGAACGCCGCCATTTTGTTTTTCTTTCAGTTCAGGCTTTATTTTTAAGGTGTTCTAATCCAAGTGTTGTGGTCTGTTGTTTTGTTTAGGAAAGAGAAGACCAACTCTGCTGCTAAAACACCCCAAACGGCTTCACCTGCGACCCCCACTGGTGAGTCTCAGTCGCTTTCTCTAGATATTTTCTTTCTCTTCCACTGTAGATTTGTGGTGTTGTGTTTCTTTTTCATCCGGTGATTATTCGGGATACAAACATGAATGTGGACACAGACATCCAAGAGAAATTCTTCCGGGCTTCTTTTCGTACAGTTGTCTTTCCTCAAGGAGAGAAATGGGTTTGGGTACTGGGTAGAAAGGAGTAAGCTGAAAAATAAAGTTGCCAGCTTCAGGTGGGGAAAATGCAGCAAATTCTGCAAAGTCTCATGCCGCTATGTTCAGATCACCATTTAAAAATAAATTACTAAAATACATAAAACTGAATTCTTACTTGATATTCTTACCACTACTTGCATATATGCTCTCCTGCAGGTCCGGCTCACTCTCCCCCTTGGGCCAAGGGATCAGTTCCCACCAAGAGCAGCCACACTGTAGCCCTGCTTCAGGAATTGGACACCTTTCTTGTGCAGGGCCTTACATGCTCTGCTTCCTCAACAGCAGTTGTGGCTCAGTTTTCCTCCTCCTTTTCCCTGAATCCACTTCTGAGACTGGGGGGAGTGCATGGGAAATGCATACTTGCGAGAGAGTTGGCAGCAAGGCTCTCCAGGTGTGAGGGAAACCTACAGGCAGTTCCAACTTCTCAACCTCGGTCCTAGGGTTAGGACAAGGTGGAAAGCGTTCCTCTTACCATGAGCTGACAGAATAAAGATGGAAAAGAGAATTGTCTGGGTGCCCAGATGCAAATGTTGAATTTGCCCATGACTATCTCCAGTCCTACCTATGACAGTGGCATATTTTAGAAACACATGCATGTTGTATAGGATAACCTGTCTGTCATTTAACATGAGCACATATTCAGACTATCGGTCCATTAAAATTAGTATTGTCTTCTATGACTGGCAGCAGCTCTCTATGGCAGGGGTGTCAAACATGCAGCCCGGGGGCCGGATCAGGCCCCCAGAGGGCTTCTATCAGGCTTGCAAGGGGCTGTCTGACTCCTGCTTCTTCCTCCAGTTCTGCTGCTGCTGCATCATAACTTGCTTTCCCAGTCTCTCTCAATCGCTCAGGAGAGATAGATAGGCAAGCTTCTGCTCCCTGCACTGGGCTGAGGCTCCTCCCCCTCCCAGATTGCTCCAGCACAGACATTTTGATGTCATAATTCAGAGCAAGAAGTATCAGTTATCAGAGACTGTTAAATAAAATATTGGAAGAATGCTAATGTTTCAAGCATGTTTTTATTTTCAGTTAAAAAGAATCTTTGTGTTTGTGTCCTTTGTAAAGTTTATATCTCCACTACCTGGCATGACATTTTATGACACACATGGCCCGGCCTGGCCAAGTCCCATTTATGTCATATCTGGTCCTCCATAACAAATGAGTTTGACACCCCTGCTCTCTAGAGTCTCAGGTGAAGATCTTTTCCATCATCTCCTACCTGACCCTTTTTAATATGGAGATACTGGGGATTGAACCTAGGACCTCCTGCATGCCAAGCAGGTTTTCTACCACTGAGCCACAGCCCCTCCCATGAACATGTTAGTATTCTGTACTGCAGCAGTGGGACTTCCCTAGGGGTTGTCAGACTCTTGAACAAACTTGCTTCCAACAGCACTCTCTTTGGCAGTGATTTGTTTACTGAAAGAGATGTTTCAAGCTAAGATGATCTATGTCAGAACTGACTCCTTTGGCATCAGTTCTGATATTATACAAAATTCATACGACACCCCCCCTTGTGACCCGTCTCATCACACCAACTCATCCAGCCCGCCAAATTTGTGCACCGTTTATCCTCCCCCCCCTGCACCTGTAAGCAGAGTGTTACATTATCAAGCAGTGTCTAATACCCAAGGTCAAAGCAAGCATTCTTCCCCTATGAAAGGGAGGCCGCATGTAGACACGGTTACAAGGCAGTGAGTGCTATTCCCAGCCAAGCTGTCTTCACTCCCCCCCCCACACACACATACACACTCACTTCCCTCCTAACCAGAACGAACAAGATGATAGGCACACAACCACAGACAGTGCAGGAAAACATGGCAAATGAGATCTGAGTTTGACAGGGGTATGGGATGATTGTAGCTGGGAATTCAGAAGGGTCTGTTTGAAGTCAACTGAAAAAGGTTTAGTAAATTGGAAGTTGCCTGCTTCTCTACTTTTGTTTTACAATATAATTCAAGTGATTTGCTTGTTCACTGCTTACATTGAGACTTTATTTTTTTTAAGCTGTGGTGTTACAGGACAAGGTTTGTCAGGTATTTTACAGCTCTGGATAATGGAATTCAGTGTATGTTCTGAAGATGGTTTATATATTAGAGGTATGAGTGGAGACAAGTGTAATGCCGACAAACGTTGCAGTGCTGTGGTTATGCATCCTTTATTGCCTTTGATCAAAATTGTGGATTTTAATGTAGAATGGAAAATGTTCTGTTATTAGAACTAAATTATGTATTTCTGTATTCTATGTCTGCCTTTCCTAAACTAATCTGACCATGGTCTCCCAATAGAACAAAGTTTGACTCCGGTGGCTTCAGACCAAAGTGGCTACCCACCTGAATCCATCTTGCATGGTCTCCCAGACGTTCAAGTCATGCAGAACTCATGTGAAATTCCATTGTGTTGAATAAACAAGCTGCTGTTGTTTTTTTTAATTTAGCAAAACCTGATGAGAAGAAGCCTGGAGAACCCCGAAAGGTTGGGGAGACTAAGGCAGGCGTAGAACAGAAGAAGGCAGAAGATCCAGTGAAATCTAGGGGTACAAAGGCACCTGTGGAACAAAAGAAACCTGCAGATCCTAAGAAGACTGAGGAGGCCAAAAAGCCAGTAGCTACCAATAAGAGCACGGACACCAAGAAAACTGCTGACTCCAAGGCAAAAGAAGCCAACAAGGCAAAAGAAGCCGGCAAGGCAAAAGAAGCCAACAAGGCAAAAGAAGCCAGCAAGGCAAAAGAAGCCAGCAAGGCAAAAGAAGCCAGCAAGGCAAAAGAAGCCGGCAAGGCAAAAGAAACCAGCAAGGCAAAAGAAACCAGCAAGGCAAAAGAAGCCAGCAAGGCAAAAGAAGCCAACAAGGCAAAAGAAGCCAATATGGCAAAAGAAGCGAACAACCCTACAGATGCAACAGGTACCTTTAGAGAGAGATGAGTTAAAAGTTTGTGTTCATTTCCCCAGAAATAAAATGGCTGATTTAGGCTGACATTTGCACTTGCTGGTTGCAGGATTTGGGCACTTAACTTTCATGTATTTCCTGAATTGCTCAGCAGTCATACGCGCTCTTTTTTATTATTATTACAGGTACTGCAGAGGCTTTACAGAGTACAGAAGCAGGTGACTCAGCCATTAAGGTACGTTTTTAAATATTACACCTCAAAAAAAGAGAATAATTTCAAGCCCATGTTCAAGGGTTATAATTATAACTAAAGCATAAGGTGTATCATTTAGATGATATCCAAGTCATGTTATAGAGAAATGAAAATTCTGAGCTTTTCTTAAACAGGGCTATATAACTTCCAGCCTGTATGAAATAATGCTACCCTTGAAAAGCTTTTAATTTGGGCTCCAACACAGAAGATGGATGGGTCTCCCAGCATGTTCCCCCCATCAGAGATGCATGGGCCTGACTCAGGTCAGGATTGTGGCTGGATCAGGGGGTGTTAAGCCTTCCCTCTGCACCCTTTTCCCCATCTGAACCTGCTCCAGGGAGCCCCAGTTTAGCTGAACAGCCAAGCATGCTGGTAGTCCTGTGTGGCTGAGAGTTTCTGTCCAAATAGTGCACTTTGCTTTGTTCGCTACAGAATTTGCTTTCTACTTTCAGCTTCTGTTTTTCCCTACCTCTAGAGTGTAAAAAAAGAAAATGTATATGCATGGTAGCAATGGGGTGCAGCAGTTTTACAACGCTTTCTCAGTACTGGGCATGCTTGCAGTTTCTTAGAGATACATCTGCTTTCCATATAGTATAAATGTGCCATTTAGTGCAATATATATGCTGATTTAAGTTATATTTGACGTTGTTAAAGAGCCAGTTTGGTGTAGTGGTTAAGTGCACGGACTCTAATCTGGGAGAACTGGGTTTGATTCCCCACTCCTCCACTTGCACCTGCTGATGTGACCTTGGGTCAGTCACAAGCTCTGGCACAGCTGTTCCTGAAAGAGCAGTTTGTGGCAGAGTTCTCTCAGCCCCACCCACCTCAAAGGGTGTCTGTTGTGGGGAGGGGAAGGGAAAGGAGCTTGTAAGCTGCTCTGAGACTCCCAGTGAAGGGCGGGATATAAATCCAGTCTCCTCCTCCTCCTGCTTGGGAGAGCCAGTTTGGTGTAGTGGTTAAGTGCGCAGACTCTAATCTGGGAGAACCGGGTTTGATTCCCCACTCCTCCACTTGCACCTGCTGATGTGACCTTGGGTCAGTCACAAGCTCTGGCACAGCTGTTCCTGAAAGAGCAGTTTGTGGCAGAGTTCTCTCAGCCCCACCCACCTCACAGGGTGTCTGTTGTGGGGAGGGGAAGGGAAAGGAGTTTGTAAGCCGCTCTGAGACGCCAAGTGAATGGCGGGGTATAAATCCAATCTCTTCTTCAGTAGAAGACATTTCAGTTCGATAGGAAGGAGTTGCATATATTTCCGAACAAACCCCCCCCCCCCCCCCCGTTTTTTCAGTAGCTGCAAAATGTTGTGAAAGTTTACATCCCTGCTTGCCATCCGGGTAATATTTTGCTCTTATAAGGAAGAGACCATAAGTTCCTCCAACATGCCATTGTTCAAACCTTCATATCTATGGGACCGCCTCTCCACATGTGTGCCCCGGAGAGCCTTGCGCTCTGTGGATAGCCATCTGCTGGTTGTCCTGGCCCGAAAGATGCCTGTCTAGCCTCAACTAGGGCCAGGGCTTTTTCAGTCCTGGCCCCAGGCTTCCAATTGAGATCAGAGCCCTGCGAGACCTGTCACAGTTTCACAGGCCCAGTTTCACAGGGCCTGTTCTGCCAGGCCTTTAGCTGAGACAGCGGGCATCCACCAGCTGGCTTCCCTACTGCTACCACATGAGACCATCATGGCTCGGTATTGGCCCACTTATTTTCCCGGCTGTAGAAACTGGAATTAAATAAGAACATAAGAGAAGCCAGTGTTGGATCAGGCCTTGCACTGCACTGGATCAATGCATTGCACTGCCCATTTTAAATGCTTTAAACTGGTTTTATTGCATTATTTGACGGTATTATTTTAGATTGTATTATTTATTGCTGATAGCTGCCCCGAGCCCGCTCGTGGGAAGGGTGGATATAAAATGAAATAATAAATGTACCACAGGTGACATTATTCCTTTGCATTTATAAGAATCACAGAATCACTGAGCTGGAAGGGGACATGGAGGCCATCTAGTCCAAGACTCCCTGCTCAATGCAGGATCAGCCTAGAGCATCCCTGACAAGTGTTTGTCCGGCTGCTACTTAAAGACTGCCATTGAGGGGGAGCTCACCACCACCCCGGGCAGCCGATTCCACTGTTGCACAACTCTTACTGTAAAAAAGTTTTCCATAATATCCAGCTGATACTTCCCCGCCCTTAATTGAAACTCATTGTTGCGAGTCCTCTCTTCTGCTGCCCACAGGAACAGCTCCCTGCCCTCCTCTAAGTGACGGTCCTTCAAATACTTTAAGAGGGCAATCCTGTCCCCCTTTAACCTCCTCTTTTCCACACTGAACCTTCCTAACTCCCTCAGCCTTTCCTTGCAGGACTAGGTCTCCAGGTCCCCAATTACCCTCATCACTCTTTTCTACACCTGCTCCATTCTGCCCACATACTTTTTTTTGTTTTGAAGTGAGGCCTCCAGAACAGCACACAATACTTGGGTGTGGGACTATCACATCTTGTGTTTTGGATGCCATGCCTCTCTTGATACACCCCAAGATCTCATTAGCCCTTTTTGTCACCGCATCACACTAGCTGCTCATAGTTAACTTATAGTCCACCTGTACCCCAAGATCTTGCTCACACACACTGTTACCCAGAAATGTATCCCCCATCCAGTATGCGTGTTCCTCATTTTTGTTACTCAGATGTAGAGCTGGGCACTGATCCTTGTTAAATGGCATCTTGTTCACATCTGCCCACTTTTCCAGCATGTTCAGATCTCATTGAATTCTGTATCTTCTGGTGCGTTTCCTGCTCCTCCCAATTTAGTGTCATCTGCAAATTTAATGAGTAGCCATTATCATCTGTTCCCATCGTAATCCCCTTCATGTGACAGGAAGGATCGATGAGAACACCACCTGTGCCCCCACATCACAACACAAATCTTTTAAAGTGGTTCACAAATTAAAGTCTTCAGCACCCACTATGTAGACCTAGGACCCTCAAAGTTGAGTTAGTATGAGCTAGCTCACAAGTTTTTAAGCCTCCGGCTCACACATTCTTGTTTTAGCTCAGTAAGGATGGCTCTGGAGCAAACTAATTTGTGCAGCAGGCAAATCCCTCGCTCACAACTTTAATACCAGTAGCTCACAAAGTAGAATTTTTGCTTACAAGACTCCACGGCTTAGAAGGAGCATTGAAGAAGAAGAAAAGACTGGATTTATACCCCGCCCTTCACTACCCAAAGGTGTCTCAGAGCGGCTTACAAACTCCTTTCCCTTCCCCTCCCCACAACAGACAGACACTCTGTGAGGTGCGTGGGGTCGAGAGAGCTCTGACAGAAACTGCTCTTTTTCAAGAACAGCTCTTGTCAGAACTATGGCTTGTCCAAGGTCGTCCAGCCAGGTGCAAGTGGAGGAGTGGGGAATCAAACCCGGTTCTCCCGGATTAGAGTCCGCACACTTAACCACTACACCAAACTGCCTAGGACCAGTCTTGGATGTAGTTTCTGGGGTGTACTGAAGCTTTTGATTTTCGATTGTCCACTTGGGAGGACTGCACCGTCCCTGGATGTGATGCTAGAAGAAAGACTGTACAATGGTAACGACCCCTATTGGATGAGGTGCAGTGTTTGATTCACCCTGTTTTGCTGTTCCAGGAAGTAGAAGAGACATGTGTGGTGGTGATTTCTAATCTACCGGAGGCAGGGTTATCTCTGGATGAAATTTCCAACTTAGCCAAGCCCTTTGGAGGACTGAAAGATGTTTTAGTACTGTCTTCACATAAAAAGGTATTTGAGCAATTCTTGTTGGGCATTTCAGTAGGAAAATGGAAATAATAATAATAATCTTTCAATTTATTGATCGCTCAATCCTTGCAGAGCTGCCGGCTCTGAGCGATTTACAGTAACTCATGAATTCACACGGGACTAACAATAATAGGGGTAAGGGAGGACAACATATATCTTTTTAATTCACACACATTTTCGCAGTCGACGGGGAGTTTGGTCAGCTGTAAGCTTCAGACGTGTTTCAGACATTGCTTGATGTCGTCAGCATTTTTCTCAGTCGCAGTGCAGCACTGCCACCGTCTGGCCGGAATGGCTCATTACAGGCTACTTTTTTGATGCTGCGTAGATCTCTCTCGGCTTTTGATCTTACGCGCGGACCTTCCTTTTTCTTTTCTTTTGGCATTGCCTAATGCTCTTTATAAAAATGAATCTCTAAGAAGTCTGCATGTTGCTTTAGATAACCTGGGTCCAGATGCAGTAGAAAAAAGCAGGAGTCTAGTAGCATCTTAATAACTAACAAAATTTGTGACAGGATATCCGCTTTTGTGAGTCACTGCTGACTTCTTCAGATGGGTTATGCATATTTCTTGTTTTTCAAAAGGCATACCTAGAAATAAGTCAGAAATCTGCCGACTCCTTAGTGAAGTTTTACAGCTGCTTTCCAATGTTTGTGGAAACAACCAAGCTGTGCATTAGTATGGCATCCGAATTCAAGGATATAAAAAATGAGGTAAGTGACTGAAATGATTTAAGAATATCAACTGATAGCTGTTGAGAGCTGCTTTTTCTTCTTTCTCCTCATGCATATTCCCCTCCCGGCCTTGCTGCAGACTCTAATTTTAGCCGATCCATTTAGTTGCTGCTGACTCTCAAAGCAGTAATGCCAGATGGAAGGATCTGGGAGTATGACTTATCTAGTAGAATACTTGGTGGGTGCGTTCAGACGGGGGCTTTATATCGGTTAGGGTGCTGGTTCCAACCGTTGTACTCACCGGCGTTCAGACGGGGCACATCTGCCTCCTGTCCCTAACCGGTGTAAAGCCCTTTACACCGTTGCACTCTGCGACCAGGTCCCAAGTGGTGGTATACTGAGTGCAACGGTTGTAAACGGTGTACCCCGGCGTCTGATCGGTCTCCACCGTTCCACAGCCATTTCCATCGGAAGCCTGAGGCTTCCGGCTTTCCCCCGCCATTTTTTTTAAAAACTAGGCTATATGCGCTTGGGCGAAGCTTTGCCCTGAGCGTTTTTTTTTTTTTTAAAGCCCTTAGTTTAACTTTCCAGAGGAGTCCGGGACTTAAGGGGGGCCAGGTTGGGCTTTAAACTTTAAAGGTAAGTCCTTACATTTAAAGTTTAAATGTAATGGGGAGGGTTTGAGCATGCGCAAAGATCGCCATTCTGTGAATGGCTGCCTATGCGCATGCTCAAACTGTGTTTAAAAAAAACCTCGCCAACACCTGCAGCATGTGAGCGGGCGTACACCGGAGGGATCCGCAAAATGGAGGTAGGTCTGATCGCGTTTCTGCCGGCATTAACCCCCCCGTCTGAACGCACCCATTGTGTTCCCATCCTGGGGAATAATTCCAGAAGCTCTGTTTGGCTGTTGGAGGAAAAATAAGCAGGAGTCCAGTGGCATTTTAAAGACTGTGTGTTAAGTGCTTCCAACTTATGGCCACCCTGTGAGTTTATGTCCTCCAAAACATTATCTTGTTAATAGCTTTGCTCAGGTATTGCAAAGCCTTTGTGGCTTCCTTGATCGAGCCCATCCATCTCATGTTGGGTCTTCCTCTTTTCCTGCTTCCTTCCACTTTCCCTAGCATTATTGTCTTTTCCAGTGGCTCTTGTCTTCTCACCATGCTTTAAAGACTGACAAGATTTTATTCCAGTATATGCTATTATGGGATGGAGCCTGTTTTATTCGACACATGTGGTGGGTCCTTACTAGGCAGACCCTTAGATGTGAGGGGTTTTGTTGTTGTTGTTTTTAAAAAAAGAAGTACAGAGAAATATAGAGACCATTCACAGTAGCAATAATTATCCATTTCTCTATTTTTGCCAGGCTGGTTTAACAGCTGAGGGGGGGTCTCACTTCGGAAGGGCATAATGGAGGCAGTACTACTGAACGATAGTGTCTTAATGTGTGTCCATGTGCATGTGGGTGTATGGAAAGGCTTTTGTGGGCTTGTTGCTTGGATTTTCCAATTATTTTTAAAAAGTGGTGGCCATCTACTTGTGAAATTTATTTGTATAAAATGGATTACCTATAATTTTGAGCCTGGAGATCTTGTCCAGTTACTACTATCTATAAATATTGCTAATGCACAAATACTGTAAAAGTAGACAACAGAGTTAGTTCACTAACTGAATTGTTTTGGTCTATTCTGTAGGAAGCTATATTTATTGCTATGATTAAAGACGCCAATCCAAAGGTAAGTAAGAGACATGTTGTTCCATCTGGGTTGGTCATGTTTACTTGTGACCCATCTAGATCCTTCCAAGGTGATTTGGGAAAGAGATAATTGATAAAGTTCTCATTTTCATTTGGGAAATTCAGGACTTCTAGGGTCCTTCTTTGATATTTCTGTGTAATTGCCAGTAAATATCAGTCATTTGTTGTGTATTGTCAAAAGTTGATTCTATATGTTGAGAGCATATTGACCAGAAACAAGAAATGGTATGAAATTCTTATTTTGGTGCTGAATTATTGTGCTCAGTGTAATAGCATATAGAAATGTAACGGCCCAGAGAAGAATGGGAAAAACTTGGGAATAGGAGTAGCTATTTTTGTGGTCTTAAAAATTCTGATGGAAAAATCAGAACATTTGGGGAAACACTGAAAAGAAATGCCTGTGGAATATTTTCTCTTTCATAATGAGTCAAATTCTTCTTAAGGCAAACCCCCCCCCCCCCAATTTATATAGTATGCAAAGGTCACGGGGGACGGGACGGACAACAACCTCCAGTAAAAAAAAATCTTTTTGAGTGAGAAAACCCTTGTCTCATGAAGCGTTTCGCTCATTCTAAATGTACAGCATGAAAAGGCCTGAGGACATTTTTCCAGTCAAAAATTTGGCAAATGTGGGAGAGGGTGGGGGGAGGGAGTACTCTTACCCTGTAAACATATACAAGATTTTTTGGTTTTAAATGTAAATAAGTACAATTTTAGATGCTAAGTTATAAATAATGCTTTTCATGTTGTTAAATCGGTAAAAGAAGTTTCAGTGGGATCGCATATATTTCAGTTTCTTCCCAAATTTCCATTTTTCCTGGGAGTAAGTTTCCGCTGTGGTTTCGAAATGTCCAGAAAATTTACAGCTGTACCCTTGCCTTGATTTTAAGAATAAAAATAATACATTCACAGTAGGCAACAGCAGTCCTGAGGTTAGAGTTGCAGAGCTATAAGGGAGCAAAGGGGTTTCATGTGCTTCCACCAAAGAAAAGGTACAAGTGGCTGAGGGGTGGATCATAATCAGAGGGCTTCAGCTGATGTGAAAAGCCCTCCCAGAGGGTGGGCTGTTCAATCCTCTGCAAAAACGTCTAGCCCTTGGGGTTGCTGACTAGCATATGTGCATTTTTGTTCATTAGGTGAACGTGGAATCTCTACACTCACAGTTTGTGCATCTTGGCAACTTGCCCGACAGAGGGTACTCTGAACTCGAAATACTGTGTGTCGGGCTTCGATTTGGACGAGTGGATCACTACATGGTGATAAGCAATAAGAGAAAGGTGAACAGAAAACTCTTCTCTCTCAGAAGGATCCTAATGTAGCCTCTCCAGGACATCCATGATGTGAATAACCTGTACTTAGGCTGTTGCTCTCGCCTTCTGTGATCATGTAGCATTACACCACCCACCGGGGAGGGGGGGCAGCTTGATGGAAAAAATTGTGAGCTCACAACGGCAGAATTTTTTATTTATGTCTTACTTGTAGGAAGCATTTGTTATTGTGTGGTGCAACTAGATTTGAGTCTGGCAGCACCTTAGGGACCAACAAGATTTTCGGGGTACAAGCTTTCAAGAGTCAAAGCTCCTGCCGTGGGTACTGGCTCTGCTGAGGCTGAGTACTCCTCAAATGAGGAAGAGGCCGGGAGCAGCCCAGCCTCCTCTGGAGTCAGCCCAGAAGAAGAACCCTCAACAGTACCTGAGGAGGAGGAGTCCCCAGCAGCTGCACAGGAGGTGCAGCCAGAAGGAGAGATGGATCCTGAGCCTGGCCCAGCACCCCCGGTTGCAGACACCCCGAGGCCAGACTCCCCACCTAGTTCTCCTGAGTGCCCCAGACGTAGGGCACGCCGGAGGCTGACTATGCAGGAGCGAAGAAGGAGTGCCAGACTGCAGCTCCTGCAAAGGCAACGGGAGGAGCTGCAAGCCTTGGCAGAGTCAACTCCCAGGGAAGGGAGGACCTGCTCATAAACACTCAGTGCACCTGCTTCAGCGTGGCATCAACTCTGCATACTCAGACGTGCTTCTCTGTGTGTGTAGCAACCGCTCCTCATTCCTGAATCCTGCAACCTTTGGATTGACTTCCCTGCTATCTGACATTTGGCTCTGTTGTTTACCCTGATTCCAGACTGCATTTATAGCTTCTAGTGTATAGTCTCCGTGGCAACCAGCTGAGACAGCACAGCTCCCGAAAATCTTGTTGGCCTCTATGGTGCCACTAGACTCAAAACTAGCTGTTCTACTGCAGACCCACATGGCTACCCACTGAAACTTCTTGGTGGTGGGCAATGTTCCCTCTAAGCTCTGGAGTCTTGTGAGCAAAAGTTCTACTTGGTGAGCTACTGGCATCAAAGTTGTGAGCAAGTGATTTGGCTGCTGCATACATTAGTTTGCTCTGGAGCCCTCCTTCCTGAGCGACGACAAACAATGTGTGAGCCAGAGGCTAAAAAACTGTGAGCTAGCTCACACTAACTCAGCTTAGAGGGAACACTGGTGGTGGGCCCATATAAATTAAATTATCTGTGCAAATTGATATTTCCAGTCTAACTGTGTGCATTTTTTAAAAACAAAACTTTCCAGGCAATTCTTCAGTTGGATAGTGCAGAGTCAGCTGCATCCATGTGTCGCTTTTTGAAAAGATACCCTTACAGACTGGGGGAGTCACAGCTGACGTTCTCACGATCACCAAAGATTGAACCTTTGCCAGTAAGTGAACTTTCTTTGGTACCTTTTTGCTTCACAGTCAGGGCAGGCATCTGAAACACAGCCTGAACTGTGGATATTTATGTTCCTTATTTTCTCTAGCCCTTGTCTCCACTGCTTTTGTCGCTGTTTTCGTAACTGCTTTTCTGCTTAGGGGTTTGCAGCCCAGTCCGGGCTCAGTGACAAGAACTGACTAGGGATTGGAATTCTGTCAAGTATGACTTGTGGCATCCGTGTTCAGGGATATTTCCAGGACTAATTTCATGATAAAAGGGTTGCCTTGTGCCATCCCATCCTTTTCGTAAGAACATAAGAGAAGCCATGTTGGATCGACCAAGTGGCCCATCCAGTCCAACGCTCTACGTTACACAGTGGCCAAAACCCAGATGCCACCAGGAGGTATACCAGCAAGGCACGAACTTCAGAAGTCTGCCCACTGTTGGCCCCAAGCACCAAGAGTACAGAGCATCACTGCCCCAGACATAAGAACGTGAGAGAAGCCATGTTGGATCAGGCCAGTGGCCCATCCAGTCCAACGCTTTGTGTCACACAGCGGCCAAAACCCAGGTGCCATCAGAAGGTCCACCGGGGGGGCAGAACTCCAGAAGCCCTCCCACTGTTGCCCCCCAAGCACTAAGAATCCAGAGCATCACTGCCTCAGACAGAGTGTTTCATCTACACCTTGTGGCTAATAGCCTTCTGCTCCATATGTTTCTCCAAATCCCCTCTTGAGGCTGCCTATGCTTGTAGCTGCCACCACTTCCTGGGGCAGTGAATTCCACATGTTAATTACTCTATGGGTGAAGAAGGACTTCCTTTTATGCGTTCTAAACTTACTGCTCATTAATTTCATTGAGTGCCCACCTTTTATTCCTCCTCCTCTTCCGTATTCTGTTGTCTTGCACAAAGAGTTTGGGTTCGGAAAATGGGAAATGTTGCTGAAACACGGAGATAGATACATATATGTCCAGTTTTGAACATTGTCCCAGAATGTGGATTTTTTTAAAAAAAGTCAGCATTATTTATACCCTGCTCTTTTCTGCAGCAGAGGGCCCCAAAGTGGCTTATATTAATTTTATTATCCTCCATTTATTCTCATAACCTCCACCCTGTGAGGTAGGTCAGGCTGAGAGGGAGTGACTGGCCCGTGGTCACCCAGTGGTTAGGATGAGCCAGTGTCCAGAGGGTTGCAGGGGAAAGAGGCCAAGCAGGGGTTAGGGGTGGAGGTGGGGGTGCTGGTGTGGAGCCATCCACCCTCCCCCCATCATATGGGCTTCATAGGGGAGGGAGGGTTGAGGCAGGGTGAAAAGGCAACCCTTTGGTCATGAAATTGCAACTTGTATATCTTGCGTGTCCCTTGATTTATAGCCTTATATTTGCATCAGGAGCATTTTTAATGTTGTTTCTCGTGAACTGCTTTAAAGCGCGGATGTTTTGTTACAGGTTGAAGTCACAAGAAAGGAGGTGAGAAAACAAGAGCCAAGCAAAGAGAGGTATGATTTCTTAATGTCTAAAGGTAGGAGATACGTGTGTATGTGTGCATGTGTGTGGGGGGGATTGAAATCCATGATCAAAGTATGTGGTTAATCCCCGCCGCTTTTGCTGTTAGGTACTGCACGCTGCTCTCTTTACAGTGGGGATGAACAACTTACACTTTCTGTTTTCTCCTCTTCCATGGGTCCTGTATTGGACTTGTCATGCTGTAATTGGTTGTTTGTCGAAAGGGGTGTGTGTGTGTATGAAGTCCAGCTGTAACCATCGCTAGAACTGTTGCCGTTTCCTTCAGCGGGATGTGGGCCTCAATCATTGAAGTGTCTGGTTCAAATGAGCACCAAGAAGTGGCACCGGGGGGTGATGCCATGGCCCAGTGGCAGAGCATCTGCTTGGTGTGGTGCTCTTCCCAGGTTCAGTCCCTGGCATTGCCAGTCGAAAGGACCGGCCAGTAGGTCCGACTCTCCCTGAGACCCTGGGGAGCTCCTGCCAGTCAGAGTTGAAGGTCCAGAGATGGATGGGCCAGTGGCTTGACTCAGTATGGCAGCTTTGTGAGCGTGTGTGTATGTGCACTGGAGTCACTCAGAATGCTGCTGCCGAGCATTGCATTATTCATTTCCGGGAGGTTCTTTCAAGTGGTCAGTGTTTTCAACATCTTCTCAAGCACGGGATCGGTGCCTTTTTCAGATCTTTTCTTCTGTGACGCAGTTTTCAGGCAGACTTCCAGGTGGCCCATGGCTGAGTCCAGAGCTTGGCTGTGGCTGCCTGGTTGCTTGCGTGTAACAGAGCAAACTCCTGTAAACAGAAATAACACTTTCAAGTCTATCAAGGGGTCTCTCTCGCTCATGCACACTGGCGGGTATCGGCAAGTTAAGTCAAAATTGCACAGCATTTAAATGACTGTTATTTGGAAATGCCTTATTCATCCCTTCTCTACTAAAATAAAACGTGCTTTAGAGCCTTTGAGACAGTTCTGTTAGTGTGCAGCCTTCATCAGCTTAGGGTGTCTTCCTCCAGCAGGGGAGGCGTGTTCTGCTGGGGAAGGCTGTGCCACTAACAGAATGGATTTGCAGGGTCCAACCCTTTGGTTGAGAAATAAATATTTTTGTTCTCAAAATGCCGTTTGCAGCGCAGATCTCGTTTCTCTCGATGCTCACCAAGCTGTGTAGCCTGCAGATGTACTGAAACGTCTTCCAGCCAACCAGTGCCTCCTGTGCAGTTGTTCCATGTAAAGCACCCTCCACACTGAGCGTTACGGCTTCGCCGGAATGCTGGGGGCGGGGCTGATTGGTGACTCCGCAGTGTGGTTGGTTAGCACAGCTAGGCCAGAGGGGGTGGGGCACTGCCGTGGCTGGGTTGACCACCTCCCAGCTGCAGAGGAGGTCCGTAAAAGACCTTCCTGGCTGACAAATGGGGCCTCAACAGGAGCTGCGGGGCTGACAGAAAAGGTGACTGCAGCTCACCTGAAAGGAAACCTCGATGAGGAAAGGGACCCAGAGAGGCTTCCTGGGACGTTCCAGCACGGAAGCCTGACGGTCAGTCAGTTGGGGGTGGTCCCCCCCCCCCCAGTTGCTGCCTCGTATATCACTCTCGTGTAAGAAATGGCAATTGTATGAATGCATTCCCCTTAGAATCAGTGTTATCAATACTTTCTGGAGTTGTTTCATTCAGCCGTCTGTCTTCAGGAGCACACAGGCTGCAACTGTGGGGTATGTTAAACATTTTTAGCATTATATGTATAACTGTTCAAATGTTATTTTTGCAGAGTACTGATTTTTTCCCCACAGAATCAGCCTGCTGAAATTTGACAATACACTCTTGCAAAAGAAACACAAAAATTTCTCCTCTCATGAATGCAGCGTGGTACATGTACTACAACACCAGGCATTCAATGTTAACCAGTTGTGTCTTTGAAAAAGATATTTACATAAGCTAGAAAGGAGAGTTTTTAGCAACTCCTGTATGCATATTTTCTGAACTTGTGAATAAGCTACTCTGCTTCTTAATAGAGCGGTAATAAATGAGAGCAGTTTCTTTTAAATCGTGTCTTTGCAAATTCTCTTAATCCTTCAATTTGAGCCTTGCATTCTGTTATGACATGAGCTTCTCTCTGTGGTATAGGAGCTCTTATTCCTGGAAGAAAACGTTTAAGTTACGAGAATGCAAAAAGAAGGTAGCTTTTGGGGTCTGTTCCCTTCACTACTTGTGCCATTCCTCTCTAGCCTTACTGTACTGAGTATTGAATGGCCCACTATATTCTTCTTTTCGTGGCTGATCAGAAATGCTTGCCAAAATCGTAGGAGACCTGATGATTAGCTAGTGTGAACAAGTTACTTAAACCTGATCCTCTCTTCTGGATGAGGGATGGAGCGGCTTCCCTGAATATCCGTGGTCATCTCCTTCTTAGGCTGGTGATCATCTGTTTCCAGCAATCTTCTTTTCCCCCCGGAACGACTTAAAACGACTGAGGACTTGTTCAAGTGCAGAAGAATTGGAGCCTGGCTGTTTGTGCCCCTTTCCCCTCCACACACACACACACGAGACATGGCCTTGGTTTGCTGTCCATGATGTCTCTGCCTGGTTCCCTGGTAGTCTGAAGCACAAGTCAGGCGGCCACGTCTCCCTGTGCCACGAGTGCAGAAATGAACTTTGCCTTGAGTGCTGTGGACAGATGCTTCCATGCGTGGCCCTGTGGCCGTTCCTTCGTGTCTTATGAGAACTTGCTCTTTCCTCTTCTCTACAACCTCTTGATTTTGGCATCACGATCATTGGCCCTGCATAGTTCACTCTCTCTGAGCTGTATTTCATCCACAGTCTTGAATCCTGGATTTACCTGATGAGATGACTTTGGGTTTCTGGAGAACTCAGACCACCTTGTCTTGTCATCCCGGGTCCTGGGATTCTCGGTTGAATTCAGAACAAAGTTGGAGTCCAGTGGCACCGTTAAAACCAACAGAGTTTTATTGAAGGCGTAAGCTTTCACGTACATGCGCACTTCTTCCGATACAATGAAATGGAAATTACCAGTCCATACATATAGGTAGAAGGTGAGCGGCAAATTAGCATATTGCGTAATGAAGATGGTTAACAGATTCAGTGACCAAACAGAGGAATAGCAAGCTTAGTTTATATGGGGACCGTTTGTTTGGGTTTAATTCCCGGGGGGGGGGCACATAGCGAAGGAAATAAATATTTCACAATTGGAGATCAATGGGCAGATGTACCCTTCTTAACTGTGGGACGCTGAGAGTAATTAACTAAATATAAAATAAAATAAAATAAACTTACTGCTAACCCTGTACCTACATAAATGGACTGGCACACGAAAGCTTGCACTCTGAATAAAACTTTGTTGGTCTTAAAGGTCCCACTGGACTCAAACTTTGTTCTGCTGCTTCAGACCAACATGCTACCCACCTGGATCAGTTGAGTTCAGTGTGTGTATTGCATCTGCTGGTCAGAAGGCATTTCTCAACTCATGCACTGTGTCACCTTGAAGAGCATTTCCTGTTCATGTTGGATCACTTACCATCTTCCCTCCTGGAAAGCCAGGCTCTTCAGTTTGCTAGGGCACACAGAATAATCTCTGACCATCGTCCGCTCTTTGTGGCGGTGGAAAGGGCCGTCAAGTTGCACCTGACTTAACAGCCACCCCGTAGGGTTTTCAAGGCAAGAGATGCTCAGAGGTGGTTTGCCATTGGCTGCCTCTGGGTAGCGGCCCTGGACTCCCTTGGTGCGGTCTCCCATCCAAGGACTGATCAGGGCTGATTTCTTAGCTTCTGAGACCTGATGAGAGCAGCTAGCCTGGGCCGTCCTGGTCAAGCCCCACCATTTATAGATAGGGCTAAATTTGGGGACTTGCCTGTTCACATCTGCCCGAAAAGAGGCCCCTGTGTTGTGCGTCTCAAAGAGAATGCATACAGATTGACAACTGATTGTAGTCAAGAATATTGTGATCTTGACCCTTGGATTCCAGTTCCTTGTATGGCTGTCAGTACCGAGATGTGCTAAATCCTATACAGCATTCTTTCCGGAGGAAGGAGGGGAGGAGCTTCATTCTCCTTGAGTTTTGTAACTGTATTATCAGTATTGCAGTCAGAAGATGCTAAGTGCTTTTATTTTTGCTTCAAAATGAAGAGATTTTAATTATTTGGTTCAGTTTAGTGAACTGTGCAAGCGTTTCAGAGTGTGGTCACTCTGGTTCATTAAAGTGGAGGCCAAACTGTTGTCCTCTAGTTTCGTGTTATGCGTTAATTACATTCATCTCCCTTGCTGGTTGTGGAATTCAGACCGTTTTATCTTCGACTAAGAGACCATCACCCTTCTGCATGTTTTCTTGCTTTAGCTGGACATTGCAGTGAGAAGACATGGCCAACCAGTCTCATTGTTCATTGAACGAAGACAGGCAGAGACTTTAACACTCGTATGCCTCCGACCCACTTTTTAAAAAACATCTTAGACAGCTGCTTTAATTGTGGGCAGGACTGTTGCCAGCAAAACAAGCACTTGTCACTTTCATACTTGTGCAATTCTTGTGTATTGTCGAGTTTCTACTGTCTTGGAAATATTGACATCTCAGCATCCTTACTTGGGCTGGGGATTGCATTTCCAGCTTTGAAAGACTTTACCATCTTCCGTAGATGATTGTGGAGGGTTATTCCCTTCACAGCCTGCTTATAGCCACTGTTTGGAAACAGGATCTTGGACTAGAGGGACCCTCTATTTGATTTTTTTAAAACCTGCTTTTACATTCTTAATCACCTTCTTGCCTGTAAGTGGAACTTCTTGAAGTACTGTAGTACTTGACTGATACTGCCTTGGGAGCTGTCTGAAGGCTGGAAAACACTCACTTTTGGGAACAAAGGCTCTGCTAGTGCGTGTGTCTGTATGGATATTTCCGCTTCCTGTGGTTGTACCCCTGGTTCATTTCAGGTATATGGGAAGCAGCCTATTAAGTGCCCCTGTTTCCAAGGCAGGGACTAGAGGAAGGTGGCTCTTTCTCTGTGTGTATGTGCAGTGCGGCTTCTTACAGTCGTACGTTTAAGAACAGCCTGGCAGCTCCAGGGTCCATAGGGCACACATACTTATTATAGAGCATCGCCTTCAAAGAAATCATATCTCAAATCATGTGCTGAAATCATGCTGAAGTGGCTTAGTCAGGTATGTAAATTGGCGTTTGGCCCCATGTTAAAATTCATTTAGCTGATAGGTTAGATTTCCCAATGCTGTGCTCTAATGCATCAGGAAATCCCAACCATTGGCATCAAGAGGTTATGTATTACTGTGGAGTTCTCAACATAGCTTGATTTCTTCTGTTTTTTTAAATACGTTTAGCCCTGACTTGAAAAAAAATCCCGAAGGATCAGGATTGGTGCACGCGGCTTCCGTTCCTTCAGCAAAGCCCACTGAGGCCAAGGAGGAGCCCAGTTCTAAGTTGAAGGTTGCAACGGCAGAAGTGAAGAATGAACCTTCGGAGAAGATGGAATGTGAAGCTCCGTCAAAGCCATCAAAGACTGTAACTTCGGAGGGCAAGTTGGCAGCATTGACTACCAAACCAGTTGACTTCAGTCCGTCTGAAGTAAAAGCTGAACAAGTCTCTGCTTCGTCGTCCAGCCTCGGAAAGGAAGAAAAGGTTCCAGATAAGGCTGATGCTGAATTGCTGGGAAGTGCATCGACCTCCACAGCAAGGGACAAAGATCAAGAATTAGCGGACCCTGCTGGTGAGCTCTCAGAAGAGTTGAAGGGCACAGCCAAAACAGGAGGGATAGGCGCGGATCCTGCCAAGACAGAGCAAGGAGCAGAGACAGCTCCTGCCATCTGTGAGACAGTACTCCCGGGCTCTGCAGAAGCTCCAGTGGAGGAACTGTCAGGGGAAGACCTCCAATCAAACACCAAGCTGGTACCTCCAGGAACAGATCATACCGACACATCGAGAAACCTCCCTGAAAGGTCTGCCTCTGAGGTGGGGGCGGGGGCAGAGAAGGAGCCTGAGACTCCCTCGTCTGCAGTGGAAGGCAGCATGGAGGTGGAACCTGAGACGACTGTGCTTGAGACTACGGAACCTGCCAAGGGGAAGCCGGAACTACAGACGGGCAAGGTGGAGGCAGCCTCAGAGAAGCAGCCTGAAGTGTTGATATCAACGGACAGGTCAACCCAGGAGGAGAAGCTTGGAAAGAAGGCAGATAACAGAAGTCGTGAGCAAAGTTTGCCCAAGTCACAGCCGAGAAAGGAAACGGGACAAGACCGGCCCGCGGAATCTAGTAAAGCTGAAGTGTTTGCTACGGAATTGGCACCCAGTGCAGAAGCTACCTCCGTCAGTAAAACCATCTTAAAGGCTTTGATGTCTGTTCCAAATATATCAAAGAAAAGAACTGTGACACGAAGGAAGGAGGAGCAGAAGCCCTCCGTAAGGCCAGGAACCAGGAGCAGCACAGTTGCCGAGAAGAAACCCGTGCCAAAAGAAGCGAGTCACCAGAGACCGACGAACAGCAGGTCAAACCTGCCAGATAGCAAATCTAAACTGAGGAAGAGCTCATCACAGCAAGAACAGGACTCCCAAGTGGAAACTAAGGGTAGCTCAAAGCAGACCCAAGAGCAAGAGGCTCATGACTGGCTGATAACTAATGCTGGCGCTTCTTCCAGACTGTGAAGCAGAGCTGTGGTCGATAGCCTGTGCCTAGTCCCTTTCCCCCTTCCTGTACAATGTTTCACTTAGCCTGAGTTCTCTTGTTGTTAAGGTAGGCAGTGGGAAGAGCTCATCACAGCAAGACAAGGACTCCCAAGTGGAAACTAAGGGTAGCTCAAAGCAGACCCAAGAGCAAGAGGCTAGATCATCCGCCACGAAGCGTGAGAGCAGCAAAGAAAAGGTGAGGAGAGCGAAAGCACTGGCTCTTGACTGGCTGATAACTAATGCTGGCGCTTCTTCCAGACTGTGAAGCAGAGCTGTGGTCGATAGCCTGTTTCCCTGTCCCTTTCCCCCTTCCTGTACAATGTTTCACTTAGCAAACCACACTGGCACCAGGGGAATGCATTAGAGACGGTTTTCCATGGCAGACTTCTGAAGCATCTTGTACAGGTAGCTGGATGGGTTGAATAGGCAAGTCATGTTTGTGTTCTGTCTCCTCGTTGTGAGGTGATCCTTCCAGTGCTGAATCCTAAAATGCCCCGCTGCACTAACTGGCCACGCGGAGAAGAAATGGTGTGTGCAGTGTAGCTGGTGGACGGAGTTCCCGGATCTAAGCAGCGGTTGGCATGGTTTCAACTTGCTTAGCAATGTGATCAGTGTCATCTCAGTTTAAAGGCAAAAATTATGTCTTGGAGCTCTTGGAAGACAATTGTTTGACTCATGTTTGTTTGTTTTTGCTTTTTCTGCTTTTTCAGGTTTTTGCTGGGAGAAATACTAGAAGTTCTAACAATGGCACAAGCCCAAAAGAGGTAAGGAAGCAACTAAGTAGATAGCCCTGCAACTTTCAACTTACAGCTCTTAGAAGGTTTCTTTTTCAAGGCATTCTAGGACAGAGAACAGAGCTTCCTTTACTCTTACAAGGAGCAGGTAGTTTGTGTTCCCTCTGATGTGGATTAGATGTGTGGGGAGGAATACAGTATTTGTGGTCTGGAAGTACCTAGTAGAACAGGGTGTGATCGGGAAGACACCGGTGTCCTAGATGTATGCCTGTGTGAGTGAGATTGTTTTTTTCGGTTTGGTCCAGATTCACTGTGGGCAGTAATGACCATCATGATGAATCCTTCCTTCCACCCCATCATTCCTTTTTGGAAGGCGTTGCTGGCTTAATTTTTGCTCCCAGCATGGTTGCATGATAATCAGAGCGACAGGGCTCCTAATCAGATGTTAAAGAAGCACCGAGACCTGGAAAACGGTGAAATAAGAGCGAGCTTTCCTGAGAACGCCCCACAAGCTTAAGTGGTTGCGGTGCTATCAGGCATTCAGCTAGGACGCCCCTGTTAAGATGCAAAGACTTCAGCGCTTCATATGTACTCTGTGCAGCTTATATCACTCAAGAAGGGAGCGTGGGGCTACAAAGGAGTAGAGCAGAAGGAGAGGCTTGTTGCTGCATCTCCGAGCAGCAGTACAAACGTTCAGGGGCGCCAGTCCTCTGGCCATCCAGGAATCCAAGATTGCAAATCCGGGGTGGGGTGGGGTGAGAAGGCAGACAAAGACTTGAGGTGCTACGCCAACATTCAGGGTTTGGAGCAGATCAGAATTGTGTTTTGGAGGTGGATTATGGCTGCAGCTGTAGGACTTGAACGATAGACGTAAGATTCCTTTGTTGCGGGCTTGGAGGAAGAGGGAGGCATCTTGGTGAGTGAACGGGTGTGCTCTCTTGATTTCAAGGGATGATCGCTGTTCAGTAATGTTGCAGGCAGTCCTGCGTGAACATTTTCATACCACACATTTGGAGTGACCATAGACTTTTTTTTTTAAGTATTTCACTCATTCCGGAAAACGGGCGGAGGGTCTCATTAGAGTTTGTTTCACTGCTCCCTCTAATTTCCAGTTTTTCCATAGGGAAAAAAGCAATGGGAGGGTGGTTCCTGTCATTTTTGGGTTTTTCCCCTCTCTAGGACTTCTCCTGTGTAGGGGAATGTGTGTATGTGTATTTGAGAGAGAGAGCGAGGGAGTGTGCGTTTAGCTAAGAATGCAGATGTGAGCCTAGGTCTTGTTGTTAATGGAAGTGTTACTACAGGGTGCAGCTCGATTAATTTCTTAGAGGCCCAAGGCAGTTTTGTCTCCGCTCCTGCCTTTATCTCTCCATGGTGTGAGATCAGGGTGGCTGCCCCTTAAGGTCTGCTGATCTTCAGCCTGCATTGTACACGTAGTCCCAGACTCCCTTTGGGGTCTTCACGTGACTGGGAGGGAATAGCTTACCTTGGTACCCCAATGAATGGGGGAAAGAGACGGACAGATGGAATCCTCTTTGTATCTTACAGCCATCGTTTCTCTCCAGAGCTCTCTTGATTCCAAACTGCATTACTGTCGTCATCCAGAAAGCTGCTCCTGTTCACTGAGAGACTGTTTTCTTAATTGTTTAATGTTTTGTAGGAAGAAGAGCTTTTCCCATTTAACTTGGATGAGTTTGTTACTGTGGATGAAGTTACAGATGAAGTGGACACTCCCTCCCAGCCTAAAAGGAACCCTCTGAGGGGTAAGAGGAAGGAAGCTGCCCATGAGCCCAGCTCCAAGAGAAGGAAGGGCAAGAGCTCTGTTGCTCACGGAGCTGCTGAGCAGGAGCTGTCCTTTGTTACGTTGGATGAGATTGGAGAGGACGAAGGGGGGATGGCCCAAGTTCCAGAACATCTAGAAGCCATGCCAGATCCCCTGGAAGCTGTGCCAGAAACCCTGGAAGCTGTGCCAGATCCCCTGGAAGCTGTGCCAGATCCCCTGGAAGCTGTGCCAGATCCCCTGGAAGCCGTGCCAGATCCCCTGGAAGCCGTGCCAGATCCCCTGGAAGCCATGCCCGATCCCCAGTTGTTGGTCACCGTTGACGAAGTGAACGATGAGGAAGAACTCATCTCTGAAGTGGCCCAGGATCCACAGGCACTTGTTACTTTGGATGAGATCTCTGAGCAAGAAGACCCTGCTGCTCAGGAGACCATGAAAGAAGCGGATGGAGAGCCAGACCTTAAAGCAGAGCCCTTAGTAACGGTGGATGAAATTGGAGAAGTGGAAGATTTACCTCTGAATGAGCCTTCGCATTTTGAGACTGAGACCTTGGATGACAGGCAAGGAGAAAAGCAAGTGCTTGAGGACCCTGGCGATTTCCTTTCCTCCCAGGTGCCGGAAGACCCTGGCGATTTCCTTTCCTCCCAGGTGCCGGAAGACCCTGGTGATTTCCTTTCCTCCCAGGTGCCGGAAGACCCTGGCGATTTCCTTTCCTCCCAGGTGCCGGAAGACCCTGGCGATTTCCTTTCCTCCCAGGTGCCGGAAGACCCTGGCGATTTCCTTTCCTCCCAGGTGCCGGAAGACCCTGGTGATTTCCTTTCCTCCCAGGTGCCGGAAGACCCTGGTGATTTCCTTTCCTCCCAGGTGCCGGAAGACCCTGGTGATTTCCTTTCCTCCCAGGTGCCGGAAGACCCTGGCGATTTCCTTTCCTCCCAGGTGCCGGAAGACCCTGGCGATTTCCTTTCCTCCCAGGTGCCGGAAGACCCTGGTGATTTCCTTTCCTCCCAGGTGCCGGAAGACCCTGGTGATTTCCTTTCCTCCCAGGTGCCGGAAGACCCTGGTGATTTCCTTTCCTCCCAGGTGCCGGAAGACCCTGGCGATTTCCTTTCCTCCCAGGTGCCGGAAGACCCTGGCGATTTCCTTTCCTCCCAGGTGCCGGAAGACCCTGGTGATTTCCTTTCCTCCCAGGTGCCGGAAGACCCTGGTGATTTCCTTTCCTCCCAGGTGCCGGAAGACCCTGGTGATTTCCTTTCCTCCCAGGTGCCGGAAGACCCTGGCGATTTCCTTTCCTCCCAGGTGCCGGAAGACCCTGGCGATTTCCTTTCCTCCCAGGTGCCGGAAGACCCTGGTGATTTCCTTTCCTCCCAGGTGCCGGAAGACCCTGGTGATTTCCTTTCCTCCCAGGTGCCGGAAGACCCTGGTGATTTCCTTTCCTCCCAGGTGCCGGAAGACCCTGGCGATTTCCTTTCCTCCCAGGTGCCGGAAGACCCTGGCGATTTCCTTTCCTCCCAGGTGCCGGAAGAAAGGATGTGGGCAGAATGGGGGGGGTGCAGAGGAGAGCGACGAGTATGATGGGGGGCCTGGGGACCAAGCCATAGGAGGAAAGGCCGAGGGACTTCTTGGGAAGGCATAGTCTGGAGAAGAGGAGGTGGGGGGGTCATGATTGCTGTCTTGAAGGATTTGAAGGGCTGTCTGTTAGAAGAGGGCAGGGAGCTATTCCTGTTGGCGGGAGAGGACTTGCTGTAATGGGTTTCAATTAAGGGCAGGAAGGTACTGGTTGGATATTAGGGAAAAGTTTTTTTACAGTAAGAGTTGTGCAGTGGTGGAACGGGCTGCCTGGGGATTGCGGTGAGCTTCCCCTCCCTGGCCGTCTGTCAGCAGCAGCTGGACAAACCCCTGTCAAGGATGCTCTCGGCTGATCCTGCATTGAGAAGGGGGTTGGACTAAATGGCCTGTATGGCCCCTTCCAGCTCTGTGATTCTAGTATTCTGTTTGCAGTAACCTTAGAACCTAGGTACTTAATCCTTTCACTTTACCCTGTTTTCTGTACTGGCTGCCCCTGAAACTTGTTTGGAGTCCCCAGCTGGCACTGAATACAATGGCTGAACTGAAAGGAGTATTATTTATTTATTATTTAATTAAATTCATGAATCGCCCCCTTTGCAAGCAGGCTCTGAATACAATAATTTAAAACCGATCCAGGTAGTGATATAACAGGGCCCCCCCCTTTACCAGCCACACAACTGTCCCGCACGACAGGAGCGTGCCAGTCTTAAACTTCCATTGCTGTTCTCAGCTAAAAGCCTGGCGGAAACATCTGCCTTAGGGGCCCTGCGGAATTGCACGTGATCCCGCAGGGTCCTGATGTCATTTGGCAGAGAGCTCCACAGGGTCGGGGCCAGGACCAAAAAGTCCCCGGCATCAGTTGAGGGCAGCCATCAGGAGCCCCTCATGCCTTCCTGGGGGCCTTCCAGAAGAATTCTGAGTTCTAAGCATGACCTGTAAATGCAGTCCCTGTAGCCGACCACTGCAGGAATTTCTTACTGTACATCACTTTCCACTTGTATAAATGAGAAGACGTGACTCGGGACAAGAAAGATACAGGTAGGGGTTGTGAGCAGTGTGGCAGTCATCCCGTTTGAATCTCCTGCCTCATGAACGGTCCCCCTCCACAAACAGTGTGTCCAGGGATCACCCGGTGGGCATGAAATGTCTTAACAGGAGCCGTTACAAGGTCTAGAAAGAGCCCAGCTTTTTGAGGATGAGGTGAAAGTCGTATGAACAAAGCCATAAAAGTGAGTTATGTGTCTTTGAATTGCAGAATTGACCTCGAAGCTGACAGAGCAGGCAGACAACCAGGGAAGCGATATGGAGGACCATCAGCAGCCTTCTGGTAAGATGTGGGTCACCAGTGCAAAGATACATATGTTGTTGTTACCTGTTTGCAGTGCCCTTACAACCTTAGTCCTCAGCCCTTTCCCTTTACCCTGTTCTCTGTACTGGCTGCCCCTGAAATCTGTTTGGAGTCCCCAGCTGGCACTGAATACAGGGGCTGATGTGAGAGGAGCAGACCATTGGGAGCCCCTCATGCCTTCCTGGGGGCGTCTAGAATAATTCTGAGTTCTAATCTCGGAGAACCGGGTTTGATTCCCCACTCCTTCACTTGCAGGTGCTGGATGTCCTGGGGCGAGCTGTAGTTCTGATCAGAGCTGTTCTTGAAAAAAGAGCAGTTTCTGTCACTCAGCCCCACCTACCTCACAGGGTGTCTGTTGTGGGGAGGGGAAGTGAAAGGAGTTTGTAAGCCGCTTGGGTGGTGAAGGGTGGGGAATAAATCCACTCTCTACTTCTTCTTTCCACCTCTCCCTCCCTTCTTCCCTCCCCATTTATTTGTTTTCTTTATTCCTTTTCCCCTCTCTTTTTCTCTCTTTCTTTCCACCTCTCTCTCAGGCAAATAAATATCATTAGCAAACAAATAAGTATCATTGGGGCGGAAATCATTATCAATATCTGTTTTCACCCCTTTTGCTTTTATTTTTGGCAGTCTCTCATTTAATGTTAATATAAAGCAAATTTGCATATTTTCCAATAAAAACGTGTTATATTTGTTCATGTCTCTTGCGGCTCTCAAACATCTGACGTTTATTCGATGTGGCTCTTACGTTAAGCAAGTTTGGCCACCCCTGGTCTAGAAAGAGCCCAGCCTTTTGAGGATGAGGTGAACGTTCTGTGAGCGAAGCCATAAAAGTGAGTTGTGTGTCTTTGTATTGCAGAATCAACCTTGAAACTGACAGAGCAGCCAGACAACCAGGGAAGCGATATGGAGCAGCCTTCTGGTAAGATGTGGGTCACCAGTGCAAAGATATGTATGTTGTTGTTACCTGTTTGCGGTACCTTGTTTGCAGTTGTAACCTTAGTCCTCAGTCCTTTCCCTTCACCCTGTTCTCTGTACTGGCTGCCCCTGAAACCTGTTTGGATTCCCCAGCTAGCACTGAACACAGAGGCTGATGTGAGAGGAGCAGACCATTGGGAGCCCCTCATGCCTTCCTGGGGGCGTCTAGAATAATTCTTGAGTTGTAAGCATGGCCTGTAAATGCAGTCCCTGTAGCCGAGCACTGCAGGAATTTCTTACTGTACATGACTTTCCCACTTGTATAAATGGGAAGACGTGGCTCGGAACAAGAAGGATGCGGGTAGTGGATGTGAGCAGTGTGGCAGTCATTCCGTTTGAAGCTCCTGCCTCATGAACGGTGACATCCCCCTCAATAAACAGTGTGTCCAGAGATCACCTAGTGGGCAATAGAATGTCTAACGGGAGCCATTACAAGGTCTAGAACAGAGGTAGCCAAACTGCGGCTCGGGAGTCACATGCAGCTCTTTTATACATATTGTGCGGCTCCCGGCAAGGCATCTGGGGAAGTGAAGGGGATGCATGTCTCCATGATCAGTCTTCCCTTCCCCATTCAGTGTTCCCCTCCCTGGATAGACTTGAAGTGAAAGGGGGGGGCAGATTAATAAACTCTTAAGTTTAAATTTGTTCTTGAAGGCCCCCCCCCCCCGACTGGCTTGGAAAAGGCATTTATCTCTTTAAATCCCTTCGCCAAGCCAAGCCAGCTGGTGTGGGGGCATGGGGTGTGTGTTGGAGAATACATTTAAAGGTAAAGCTGCTTTCTTTCCACCTCTCCCTTCCTTCTTCCCTTCCCATTTATTTGCTTTCTTTCCTTTCCTCCTCTCTTTCTTTCCACCTCTTTCTCTCAGGCAAACAAATAAATGTCATTGGACAAAAAAAAAATCATTCCCAATATCTGTTTTTGCTGCTTTTGTTTTTATTTTTGGCAGTTTCATTTAATGTTCATATAAAAGAGATTTGCATATTTTTCAGCAAAGATGTGTGTGTAATATTTGTTTATCTCTTGTGGCTGTCAAACATCTGCTGTTTATTCTATGTGGCTCTTAAGTTAAGCAGTTTGGCCACCCCTTGTCAAAGCAAAGCCATAAAAGTGAGTTGTGTGTCTTTGAATTGCAGAATCAACCTCGAAGCTGACAGAGCAGCCAGACAACCAGGGAAGTGATATGGAGGACCGTCAGCAGCCTTCTGGTAAGATGTGGGTCACCAGTGCAAAGATACGTATGTTGTTCTTACCTGTTTGCAGTACCCTTACAACCTTAGTCCTCAGTCCTTTCCCTTTACCCTGTTTTCTTTCTTTTTTTAAACATTTTATTTTCAGTTTCACAAACATTAAAATAAATCAAACATTCCTTTTAAAACTCATACTTTTCCAAAACCAAAATTCATCTTCCTATTTTAACAATTAATATTTTTAACTAGCATTTTCCATTCTTACTATAACTTCTTCATTTTCAGCCAGTCATATATTATATCCTGTCTCGTCCACAATTCTTTCTCTAACTTATTTTGTAATATTAATGTCAATTTGCACAAACATTAAAATAACTCAAACAAATCCTTTTAGAATTCATACTTTTCAAAAAACAAGTTTCATCTTTTAACAGTTAATATTTTTAACTAGCATTTTCCATTC